CTTAAATATACCATGTCAATAATAACAATAGCAGGAAATACACCAACAAAAACATAAAAACATGTTGCAAGCCATCTATGTCTTTCATGATATAAAATCTGATAGGTAATGCCTAATATAGCCATTATCCAAACGAGTCCTACAGTAAAATTTGTTGGAATTGCTTGAATTGGACGAAGAAGAAGCCTAAAAAAATAAACTAAAACTCTAATCTACAAATATATCACGAAGTATAACCATGGTGTATAACTGGCACTAATAAAAATGTAAATAATAGCTCGATCAACTCGATGTAATAAATGCCTCACTGTTGAATCTCTATGAATAAAATAATATCTATGTTAATGATCTAATAAAAAATTTCAATTCTACCTGTATGTTGGATGAAAACATGAACAATGAAAAATAGTCGAAGATGAAAAAAGAAAAATGAGAGCATTCCCATAAATAATACTACTCCAATATTGTGCTGGTGTTTTAGCATGAGATATTAACCGTTGAGCAGCAATAAACGATGGAATGATTAGACAACCATGTGTTAAACAATTTGCTGCGTGTTCTATATAAGCAAAAATTAGAAAAATCAAGACTATCATTTTATAAGAAAAAAGTATACCATGCGTTGTCGGTACATAAGCTCGATTAATTGCTCTTTCATTCATAAATCGACGCCAATATTTATGACTTTTTTTTTCCTTTGAGATCGATGATTTTTGAATAAGATCATCACCAGTATCAAAACAAACTGTACGCTTTTTAATATGCATATTTAATAACTAAGATAATAAAATGAGAAAAATGGTTAAGAACAAGTTTCAAATTTACATTTCGGAACAAGATAAATTATGGGTTATATTAGCAGTGTTACAATGTTGAATCTAGCCATCTTCAGAACGAAACCAATAAGAATAAGTATAAAAACAAAGGAAGAAATGTTTGGTTGACACTGCAGATCTATCCATGAAAAACATGTATCATTAATAACCAAATAAATACAGACGATGCTGTCAAATAGTCAGCACATTAGTAAGATGTCGCACAAGATCAGACTGTCATTTGTTCTTCATACCGATTAATGAATCCTCTTATACTTCAATTGAAGCTATATTGTTTGTAAAATAACGAAAAAGAAATTGAAACGATTTATAATAGAATATAGTTTAAACTAAATACACTATATCAATGACTTTGTAAGTTTTCTCTGTCTGTTTAAATAAGTTTTGTTCTTAATTTGTCTTGAAAACAGTCAACGAATAGAATTCAATAAACTATTGCTTTTTGGGCTAACAGAGACAGTAAATAGTAGTTGAATATAATTGACCCAAATTAGCTCAGTTTAATAAAAATACACATTGATAAAGACCTTCGACCTTCTATATTATATGAAGTGAAAAATAGACACTCATCATAGTAGAGAAGACTAACAACATCTTGTGTTTATATTATCAAAAATTCAACATTGTCTTTTTGTCAAATACTACAGTATCGGTTATGATTCTTCTTGTATTCCAGAATATATATATATATTAAATCTGTTATTACGAAATTCTTTTTGCTATTAACAGTAGTTTTTATATTTAAAAGAAATCATTTTATTCACAACTGATGCAGAATCATATTGGATAAATACTAATTTGTAAATGGAATAAAGAGTTACATGCAATTAAATTTTGACTTACAGGCAAAAGATGCCATGGACATTAATAGTATAATATTAAAAAAAGATAATTTCTACATCTGTTCAACATTCCAAAAACATTTCATTAAACACTCGAAAATATTGTGTCTGGAGATTTTGAAAATGACTAGTCGTTTAGAAATTTGAAAAATATAGTGTTTGTAGCTTTCGAATAGGCTATCAAATGAAGTATGCCAGGAAAATGGTTATCCATAGTTTTGAACTAAAAAACCTAATGAAAACAAACATTCGTCGAGATTTATATTGATAGGATGTCATGTTAACTGTGCTTGTGCTGGCTTAGGAAATGAGATAATACAGCTGAATAGCAGATCATGCATGGGATTGAAGCATTACCAGAATGACATCGAATTCATATTTTATTGACGTTGAATTAGTGCTTAATTTGTAGTCTTTCGCCAACGCACTCAGCTCATTGTAATCAGGGTAACTACGGCTAGAGAAGATGCTTTGTGAAGTATTTTAAATCTATCTTGCTCAGCAGTGAATCAGTGTATGTGTCATTGGAAGACGGATTTATCTGTGAGTGTTCATCTCATATATGGGTACACTTGATTAGAAATAGTGAAGTTTCATGAGCTGATTTGATACTTGAAACACCATTGTGTTTTGACATCAGTGCTTTTCATGATGCGTTGTTTTGTTATAAATGACTTCTTTGTCGATGTAAAACGATGTTCAAAATATTTAGTCTCTGTCATTTTTTTTCTAATTAGATCGTTCTGAAGGTTTTCTATCAAGTGGTAAAAATCTGAGTTCGATGAATAGTAATATTGATGAATTTTTATCAAAACAATGTTGCATATTTTTTTCATCTATCCATGCGATGCACCCATGATCTTGAACGCAGTAAATTCGAGTAGAAGATCAGTCTACAATAACTTGTTCGATCCAGAGTCGTGCGATAAACATGAATATAAAGGTAACTTTTCGATTTTAAAAGATATTAAATGACTTGTAGATATAGAACCAATAGTCACTAGGTAGAATAAGGTCAGGTATGGTCCATGCTAGCTCGCTTCACCAGCACCTCCACTTTTTAAGTTACACAAATACAGGTCAAAAGATGTATCTTCACGAGATCTATATTTGACGAAAATAGAATTCTAGGATCTCTTGTTTCACTCAAGAGAAACCCAAAATAACACGACCTCGCACGGTCTAGTTTCTCGAGTTTCAGACATATTGTGACCCATAATGTTCTCTTTACTATATATTTTGGTCACTGAGGATGAATTATCAGCCCACACTGTTCTTTATCTAATGAAATATCCTCAAGCTCAAACGATCGAGTCACTCATGAGATACTGCCAAAATATTGAACACACCAATTGTTAGCGATTTTTCTGAGAAGAAAATAGGCTCTTTAGAGTTGTTTTAGCTTGCATTTTTCACAAGCAAAACCAAATGACCTCATATATAGAGTTGGACTATGATTCAAATAAACCTTTCATTTGAGAAAATAGAACTGAAAAAAATTTTCTCTAGTGACCTAGGTCGGATCTATGGTATACTAGTCTCCTAAATATCTACTTATTACTGTTTGAGTTGAGTATTGTTTTCCGAGAGAAAGCTTTATTAGAGTTTACAAGCAGCATCAACTTACTCTTTTATCATAGTCGAAGGGTCTCTGTGTTGGATAAAGGAAATTTGCCGTCTAGCTTTGGGAAAAATACAAAACATCAATCAAATCTCATTTCTTTGGTGATAAAAGTCACTGATTATTTCCATTCAGTTGTCTTTCGTCACCGAAGGAAGTAACGTAACATAAATGAGTAATGTCAAGCTTCTGACTCATTCATATCTCTCATCAAAGCTTTCAAAAAAAAAGCACCTGTCGAATAATATGATTGCAGCAAACACTAGAGATTATTTCGTTCTTGTCGTTGTGTCAATACTGAGGCTTGGTTGTAAATGTGTTTACGAAGCATTTTTGTTACGGTTGTTGCATGTCTTCGTGCATCAAGTAATTGTATTGTGTACTTCTGTTCATCATTTGTATGTCAATTATTGTTAATGTTGCCACATATGAACGAAAAGCACACATCGATGAAATTGAAATCATGTAAATGTTCAGAAAGCAAATTTCATCATTTTCAAACAAGTTGAACCTATAACAAGCGTACATCGTATCGTAACTGATTTCAAAAGTATGGAGTAAGTGGAACTAGATAGTGTAATAGAAGTAAACATCATCTTTGAAATAAAGTGAATCAGATGGTTCGTAACACAAAGCAGGACAGTATTTTATGTGTTTCAACAAATACTAATGAACGGAAATTTTACCGAACAATTCGCTGATAGATCGCTCAAACTGTATATTGGTAGAAATCGAAAGAAAAACGAGTTTGTGAAAATATATAATTGATAAATTTACAACCTGTACAGATCACACATGTCGAAATCGAGGCAAAATTTAAATGAACGTGCCAATGTTACACTCGTAGTCTGTAGTTTATGAAGCACAATTAGTAATAAGTAGTAAAATATATAGCAAGAAAAGTGAATTCCTTAGCTTCTCAAACAAGTCGTAAACGGTCATGACTGAATCTTTTGAAGATATTACACAGTATGACAATTATATTGATACAGTGAAGGAACAGCGGACTTTCGGATTCTCTTAGCGTTCCCAACATATTGATATAATCATTAAAAAACAGTTTTTTTAACATAGTTTAACTTTTGTATTTATTTAAGGTTTTTTTAGATTCATGAAGTTCTAATTTTGGGAGTGTAAATGACTATCTGGACTTTGAATAGACATCATATGCCACAGATAAATAAATCGCTGTTACCCTTTGAATATGGTTTTTGACCCTATCACAGTGTGTGACAGTTTTGTCGATATGCAGCGTTCGTGACTCAGCAATAGATTGTCATTGACTTGTTCTGACCAATCATTTTGAATTAAAGCAAGCTTTCACTATATTTCATATTCGACTCCTGTAAAGAGTCTATTGAAATCTTTTGATATTTACTAGAGTTCTCTCTAATACACATTCTTTTCTATTGAGCATTGCTCTTTTTTCTAGATTGCTATTTTATTCAAAAGAAAGCACAAATGGCCAAGGACAGTAAGAGTGCATTTGAGTACATGAATGAGATGTCAATTGACAATTATTTGAAATGTCCAATTTGTACCGATCCATTTCTGGATCCCGTATCGACACCATGCAAACATACGTTCTGTCGTCAGTGTATTTTAGCATGGCTGGAACGCCGCCAGACATCATGTCCTTCATGTCGAGAAGAATTATCGAAAAAGGATTTGACATCTATTAGTGTGATTTTTATTCATGGAATGCTCAATGAAATCCAAGTAAAGTGTACATTATGTGGTGAAACAAATCTTCAACGAGGCAATTTTCAAAATCATATTAACAATTTGTGTCCAAAAGCGGATGTATCTTGTTCGATCAACAGTGATATGAGTTGTTCTTGGATAGGATCACGTGATCAACTTGAAATTCATCAATCCGAATGTAAAATTTATCAATCAAAATTAATGAAAGAAATAAATTGTGTCAAAGATCAACGAAGTGAAATTTTAACGGTTGATCGAAGAGAGAATCTTGTCAATGGTAAATAGAACACCTTTGATATGTGCTACTTGAAATTCTGTTTTAGCATAGAAGTTAATTTTGGAACATGTCTATTTACTCTTTTAGAATTGACAAATCCTCGTGAACTGGAATTTGAAGAATACATCACTCGATCTACCGATTGGGCGATTGAATTAGCTGAACGGCTGATGACCAATAGTGATATGTCAATGGTGGTAGAACAAGCAATCGTTCGGAAAAAATGCAGTATACTCATTCTAAAGGGAAACAATATTGATGCAAGCGGTGCTTTGATTCTAGCCAAAACATTGAGCAATAACACGTCATTAATAAGATTAGAACTTCAATGTAATCGTATAGGTGATCGTGGCGTGGATTATTTAGCAGATGCACTTACAGTTAATAAGTGTCTCAAAGTACTAGATCTTAGAGATAATAATATTACTCACGAAGGAGCAAGACATTTGGCTAATATGCTTAAAAAGAACCAAACATTGACTTCACTGTCATTAAGTTCCAATCATATAGATGATCGTGGCGTACGAGTATTAGCCGATGCACTTATTGATAATATGAGTCTTCGTCGATTGTGTCTTTTTCAAAATCAGCCAATTAGTGATTGGAGTATCGAATCTTTGATAAACATGATGCGATATAATCAGTCGTTAGAAGAACTCACTCTACAAACCAATAAATTATCTTGGTGGAGTATGATACTACTTCGATTTGCATTGTTGACAAAAACGAACTTCACCTTAATAATGTAATAAATTCGATATGCTATCTTATATCAAAATAAGATATCCAAAAGAATGAAACATGATAACTCTAGTCATTTGAGCACTGGTTCTTGAAACTTCTTGACACTCGATCTACTTTTTTCATGAGTGACTGCTGTTAATAATCATTACCTATCGTTATCTTACAGTGCATATGTTGATTTCGTTTTCACTTGTATCTAATTGTATTTCTCCGTATATGATTACAAAGACATACAAGTGTAATGTGGAGCTATGTAGAAATTCAATGTGAGATCGTATACAGATTTTGTTTTGTTCGTTCTGAACATTTTTGGTTCAAAAAACGATTGTGGTTTTCTAAATATAATCAGAAGAAATACAATCGTTTTGCTAGAATGTGAGTGTTGGTAGAGAGCAAACATTTACACCCACACCCACATTCTGACAAAATCATCATCTTTGATCTTTTATTGTTTATTTCACTTGTCGTCTCGACGTCTATTGTCCAATGGAATAGATATTATTTTAAAAAGATAAAGTAAGATTTAGGTAATAGCGAGGGTCTAAAAGCATAGGAAGTAAGCTGGGAATGAAGTTGTAATAGTATGAATATAAAAAATATCCTCATCGACAACCGTCCGCAACATTCCAATGATTTTAAGAGTTTAACATTGTTGATTGATAAGTCATCAATATATGAATACTAAGCATACAGAATATCTTCAAACGAGATGACACTTATCTTTCTAGTGATTATATATTACAGTGTTCATGAGCAGCATTATTTAATACCTTTTGTTTCGGAAGAAAGTAGCAAAATTTTTCACGATCGTCTTGTACGGATGACAAGCAGTTCACTTTAGCCGTGAAAACATCTAAATCAGTGGCAATAGAATTCTTTGCAAATATTGTCCAGCAAATATGTTGACCATTTCAATATTTCACTATCGAATTTCGTGCATGTAGCGACTGCCGTACATATGAGCAAGATGTTCGTGAACATTATCAACAGTTGGAAAGATTTGGCCGTCGATTGTGACTTTTCTCTGGAAGGAAATAGGTGATAACAATGAATTCCTAGGTTGTAAAGTAAATGTTGAAGTATTTGACATCGGATCTTTTGTTTTTCTTGATGCAAAATATAAATCAACATAGGCAGCTAAATCACCAATATGCTCTGGCGATTTATGATGAACACTTTGTGTTGTGAGCCAAGTCAAACTTGAAGCATTCTTATGTACACAAAGACGAGTCACACCAAGAACCTACATTCAAAGAACAAATGTATGACAATAAATACAGTTAATTTCGATAGCAATCAATTATGAATAGTGTTGCACATTCGTTTGCCCTGATTGACTTTACCTCGAATATATAATAGCCATGTTTAAAGAGTTCATGACGAATCTCATTTGAACGCAAATATGTCTTATTAAAAACGCCAATATCAATATCTCGCGTCCAGGGAATAATAGTACGATTACGTACAGCGCCAAGTAGGCTACCATAGACAATCACGTATGAAAGATTGTGATCCTTTAAAAAACTATCCAAAAAGATGAGTAAATGCTTGAGAATGTAAGCACAACATGTGGAATTTTGTGTTGTACATCGAAGTGATCGAGAACATGCAAGATAAGAACACTCTTGGAGCCGTCCTCGGACTGAATTACTGATAATCAGTGAATTGAATAATTCTCTAAAGATACCAAAGTACGGATGAGAAATCGCGCAGAATCATTTCTTGTTAAACTTAGAGATATGTCTACAATTTTCGTTGCCTTGTCGATTTGTAAATATCAAGGTATTTCCCTATGAATCAACGTGTGAAAGAGAGCATCGCATGGTTATGTATCTGCTAAGACAAAAATATGTCAAGATATGAGAAAAAGCAACACACCCATTCATTCCTTTTTTCTCTTGCTTAACGAATTAATTTGTATTAAGTAGGAATATGAAAGATAAGAAAAATTATATCTGGAAAGATTCTATTGAAAATTCATATTTCAGTTCAGGAAAATTCTAGAGTTTTGAGAAGATTCAATGCTACGTTGTCTTCTCAACTGTAACACATGACTTTTTATCTCTTCTGTTTATATTTATTCTTACTCGGGTTCTAAGTTAGTCATTAATATGAGCCATGCCACAGCCACTGCCACAGTAATCATTTTGGAAGTGTAACGAATGCATTTGCTTTGTCGAAAATGATGCATTAGTTGCAATTTAATAAAGTCCTAGATAAAAAAACAATATTATTTGAACTGTATATTCTACAATGTCTCATATATGTTTTTTCTAATATGTAAATCTCGACTCAAATCATGTATTCTTTTATTTTTATCGTTTCTATAGATAACTCTCCGCTACATTAACCATAAGTGATACTTGCACTGTCCTATTTTCATAACCTGCTATAAAAACGGAGTATTCAATTGTTAACAACACATTAACATATCATTGTAATTCGATGAGAGACAAACAATGAAAGATGACTATTTACAGTAGTGCTGTGCAGTACACATTCGTTTACGAGAAACGCATATTGAACATTGACATCTTATAATACCTCATATCCTCTTTTGATAAAGGAAAGGCTGAGTCCTCATCCCTAATAATTCTCTCAGAAAGTTAGCAACTTGATTTCTAGAATTTCTCCTATTTATGCTACTAATTTCAATAATACTGTTGGCTTGTCTAATAATGAAGAATCTTATACAATTTGCGATTATGTCGAAAATGTTATTAAAAGGCAAAATATCAGTTTAGCTTTTTTCGATCAAGCGAAAATGATCATTGAAGGATTCTAGAATAAAAAATGCTGTATCTTCATTGTTTCGGCACAAATAGCCATTTTTCTTTGATCAAAACTGTTTGAATTTCCTTCATGAACGACTAACGAACATGTGATTGAAAAAATTTATGAACAAACCCTATAGATCTACTAGTTCACTCAATCGTCTCTGTTCTGTCACTTTAATATGCGACATTGGTAGTTGTGTAGATCCAGTTTGTTCCTATTTTATACTATTTATAGAAAACGCAAGACAAGATACAATGGATATTGATTGAAGTTTTGTTGTGATAGGTTTCGACGCAAATTAACTTTTGATTTATTCGTTTGCACAAATATGATCGATGGTAAATGTTTTTTCAGTCTGCCATCTGCAATCAAAATTATATTCAACCAAGAAAATCTCGATCAGGATCATTCTTCAGTTGGGTGTTCTAAGTGAACTAATACGACATAAATCTTGACGAAAGCCTTCATTATGAATGGTCTCATTGTGAGAGGAAATCATAAATATCAGGATCGAACTAGGATTTTCAAGAGAAATAATTTGTATTCAATTACACAACATTATTGAGCACGAATTACGAGTCACTCGATATATAGATACAGTCAACAACTGTTTTTTTTTATTGTTTTAATTCTATGTGGAAATAATGGTTTGATATGAATATGGGCATGATCATTGAAGATATAGTTTTCTTCGCTGTAGCATTAACAAGAACGAATGGTGAATAATCGACATTGAGTTATGATAGTGTTGGAGAATGACTATATCCAAACGAAATAATCAATTTTTGAGGATGAACCGCTTACACGTGATTGTTTTCGATACTGATCGTTACTCATTTATCATTATCCATAATAATCCAATTATAATTCGATTCAAATCAATGCGTAAATGAGGATAGAATTTTCTAATTGAAGAAAACTTTACTTTTTCCAAGATCGAATGAAAACATCATTGTAATTCAATCTATTCCAAGTTGATAAAATCATATTGGAACGATTGCGAAATATTTCCTATCCATACTACATTGATAATCGATTCAGTCAGATAAAGTTGTGACTCAAACCGAATTGAAGGTGGACCAATCAACACAAGTAAATATTTCTGTAAACGACGCGTCAATCGACTTCGACACAACGAAATTTATTTAGTTCATTGATTTCATCTATAGTTTGATGGTCAATGTAATTCTAGTTGAAGATAACGAACATTATATTTTCATTAATTTTTTTACCATCGTCCGAAAACAATCTCAATAAGTGGTCGCATCTGTTGTAGTAGAATTTTCGAGAACACTTTGATTGAGACTATTTTACATGTTGAACAAGTGGGTGGTTCTTTTTCACGAAATTAATACCAAGAAAAAACAGTAGGCGACAGAATTTCTTAATTCAATTCGTTCAAAATATATCATAAGGCAATCATTTCATCTTATAGTTAATGATAGATTAGTCATTGTTACTTTTTAAATAAATGGATAGACTTTGGAACAATGACAATGCTTGGCGTATGTTAAGTGAGTTTTTTCAAAACTCTTTTCTTAGTCTTTCATCTCCTATTTTAGTGGCATAACTAAATGGAGTCTAGGAGGGGAAGGGTGGGAGGATAGGAATATCCTTTGCAAAAGTCTACGTCTCGCTTCAAGGACAGCTGTGCTCTTCGAGTAAAGCAACTGGATGAACCTAAATATTCCAGTAGTCTCTCTCGTTAGAATTTGTTCTGTTGATGCTACCACTTTGTATTGTTCCATTTAAAATCAATTTAAAGACGAGATTTTTGCTAGAAAAAAAAAAACAAAATGTAACGAAAACGTATTTATTCTAAATTTTAATGACCTTCGATCGTTGCTTTCAATACACTCTATTTGCCTTATATCGAGGGAAAATTATTAATAAAGAGATACGTCAACAGTGATTACACTGATGAAATCATTTTTGAGGAATAGATGTAGATTGTCATTCGACCATGATCCTCAATTATAATCTCGAAGACTCACTATCATTTACGAAAATGCTGATGAAACTTTGTATTTGACGGCAAATTCACTTTAGTCAAAGATTCATTTAATTTATGATCTGCTTGATATTCATCATCTAACATGATAAACAAATGAATCATATTTCGATCAACAAATATAGTCACAGTGGAAAAAGTGCATCAAGAAAAAGATGAGTCAAACTAGTATCTCACGTAGATAGTTCTTTCTGTTCTGATTCTTCAACAACGAAG